TAAAGTGTAGTGGACATGATGTCATGGAGTACCTGGATGATATTTGTATCAGTCAGGCTAGTAAAATGTTACTATTGGTTCATTGAAACTGGCTGATTTTGCGTTTCTTCGATAGAAATCAAATTATTTGCACTAATCAGTTTTCTTAGAATTAGCAGAATATAAAACTCGTATGAAGGTTCATTATGTACTTTGTACTGGTTCAGTTTGAATGTCTTTACGACGACCCAGCTGTCATTAAAGTTGATAATGAAGCAACCACTAAAAAGTATGCTTAGAAAGTCGTTCAATACTACCACTGTGAAGTGAATAGTCGCATCCGGTTACCATGAAAGTATGCACTATGGTTTTCCAAACCTTCGAAACATCGCCAACCACGGGGCTGCGCGGCATGCATTTACCAGTACGATCCCGCATTTCACTTACGATTGGTGATTCGTGTCTACTTCAACTACTACAGTTTCTAATTGAATAACAATTTACGACAGAGAAGAATCCTCAAAGTGTCGTAATAATTACTCAAGCACACTGCTTCACTGAGCTAGTTGCTAAGATAACACCACCCTACAAAAATAATTAAGCAGAACGTAAACGATTTGCTCCACACGTCCGGAACCGACTGAGTGGCTTTTTAAGGTTCCCGGGGATTGTCCAATGGCAGCATGCAAACGGAAACATTTGTGGATGCATGGTTTGCCCAGTTTACATGCTTGTCATTGAAGTAGTATTACCTAATCACATTCCAAAATCTCCAAAATTGCATCATTGTTTGTATACCCCGAGGTTTTTTGGAAAAATTCCGATCCCGTGCTTCTATCCAAGCTTCTTTGTCGCTGTTGATTTCGGGGAGGGGGAGTCAGTCAGAAAGTTAGTCTCCCATGCTCTAACGTAATTAAACAGATCAAATAGATTGTTAAAGTAGGATAGAAATTCATTGCAGAGGTTGCTTTATGTACCTATCTATTTAACAGAATACGGAGAGATTTTTGGGTTTCGCTTGTGACTAAGTTTTGTACATTGATGCAACTATTTTAAACATTACATAGCTTGGTCGACGCGATGAAAATGCCGAGAAAGATGTACATGTCTGGGTCACTTGTATTGAAGACCAACCAAGGACCAAGCATAGACAGTGTTCACACAGACACCACTAATCTCCCGTCCGAATCGTCTTGACCCATTGCTTACAATTAAGTGAGAAGGAAAGGGCAGTTGTGCACTGAACACATTCGCGACGCGCAATCCATTCGGTGGTAACGAAGATCGTCATGCTACTCGACTATCCCACATCACAGACCCGAGATAAAACTCAAAGACCTAGGTTATTGTGTCTTGTAAATCAATGCATGAGAAGAAGAAACTTTTGTCTGAATATATCACGCGGTTTGTGGCATTGAGGTCAATCAATAGTGTCGTATTTTAAAGGCATAGTAATGAGCAGACGCGTCAAGTGAAGGTAATTTGATTAGTGAGAAGCCATTTGGTGTATTTTAAAATAACACAATATGAACAGTAAACCGGTTCAGCACTAAACAGCTGTTTTGTTCAGTTTGGGACTCGTCAGCAGTGCGCACTTATTGTATCCCTGTCAGGACTCGAACCACGAACCTTCGGGTTGAGACTTCAAACCCTACCCCCAGCTACACGGCAGACGTTGACCACCTTACGCGAATCGCCAATTCAATTTAGATGGTGAATGTATGGATTAGCCCAGTGGGTTTTCACAGGCACCAGGAACTGTCGGTTCGCGGTTCGAGTTCTGACAGGGACAAAATAAGTACGCACTGCTGACGAGTACCAAACAAGACGAAATAGCTGTCCAGTGCTCGTTGTCGGTTATCACAAGCGTTTCCACCGCATTTAAAAGCTTTCATATAATGAGGAATTAAACATCCTCCAAGAAGTGAAACAGTAGTAATCACAATATTACTGATTATCGGATTACGAGAACCCGTAATGCAGTGCTCAGAACTGAATTGGCTCCAACCCGAACTGCGGACACCTATGAAATATACGAGGAATTGATAGCAGCAAATGCTTATGTTTATTCAGAGGATAACAGCATAATTTATGAAAGGTAATAGGCCATATGATTGGTTCAACGACCGTCCTCCAAACACGCGACCGTTTGCAACGACGCATCAGATGTACTAACTCGGATGTCATGTTCGCCCGGTGTACCGTTGGTCGAGCTTCCTGAACTGTGATTGGATGACATAAAACTGTACCTGGTCGTGCCTGGATTGCGGTCACGGAAGTCTGGATCACCATAAAGAACATACAGGAAATCACAAAGAGCGTTTACCACATATTTGTTTCACAACCACTGCCTCCCAATAAGTGTTTTTTCTTTTCTTTTCACGTGCTGGAATTCCATCTGCACCGATGCGTATTGATCGGATCGAGATAGTGTTATGGAAAGGTTATTGTCAGAGTTTGTCTACTTTGATACCCAAGAATCTCGTACTGCGCAGTGTTTATCCATTTATCAAATTTAACTCCTATTTTGCCTACGGCTCAAAGCGAGTCGCTTCGTTTCACAATTCCAACGAACGCTGTACGTCAGTTTTGCTGAGAACACGAATAGTGAGCAGCGTTGGATTTTGTCTTATTAAGGATGCATTAGTTGCCCGGGTTTCTTTGTTCATCATGATTACCATGCTTGTTTTTCTTATCCGGAATGTTTCCAACTCATGTAGCGTTTTAGGATTGGCAGAAGCAGTTGCACTCTTGACAGTTTTGACTAAATTCTCTGCCGATCCGTTCGAACAGGGGTGACGAGGCGCAGTTGGAAGATGTCGGCAACCGATGCTGTCCATCCAAAGCTTCATTTTGGTGGCACAGAACGGATTTCCATTGTCCGTCACAAGCATTTGTAGAATCCCTTCGCGATTAAAACATTCCCGTAATACTTGTCTCACAACGGATTCAGTGTGCGTAGTCGTGATGAATACCTCTGGCCATTTGGAGTATGAATCGATCAGAACAAGGGTGTAGTACCGGTTCAGAAATGTACCACAGAAATCTACATGAGCCCTTTGCCTTGGTTTGTAACTTTCCGACCATGGTGTCCAGTTTATCGGGCTTGTTCGTAGTTTATGTAAAAATAACTCAGTTCATGGCTGTTACGTAAATGTCTGCGTCCAACTCCGGCCAATGACTTCATCTTTCCCACTAACATTTATTCTTTATGCAATTTATCTAGTGACGTCTTCTGTAGTAGCGGCGGGATTACCAGTCGATCGTCGCGACGCAATACACTATCCAATTGCACCGACAACTTGTGGTGATCCAGACTTACGTGACCGCATTCCAGGCACGACCAGGTACAGTTTCATGTCATCCAATCACAGTTCAGGATGCTCGACCAATGGTACATCGGGCCAACGTGACATCCGAGTTAGTACATCTGATGCGTCGGCGAAAACGGTTACATGATTGGAGGACGGTCGTTCAACCAATCATATGGCCTATTACCTTTCATAAATTATGCTGTTATTCTCTGAATAAACATAAGCATTTGCTGCTATCAATTCCTCGTATATTTCATAGGTGTCCGCAGTTCGGGTTGGAGCCAATTCAGTTCTGAGCACTGCATTACGGGTTCTCGTATTTCTACATTCAGTATTATTCCGATTATCACACAACTCCTCTGGGTGAGCAAGGAATTGGGGATACTTTCTCTTTACCTCAGGTGACTACCCTTTATTGATCGCTGAGAGTATTGCTCAGTAGTACTAATCGGTCGATTTGCGTAAAGTTTTCCGAGAAGCTGGTGATGCTATGGTGATGAAATGACACTGTTCGGACTCAGAAAATTGTGAGTAGCGAGAGAGGAACTCAGCCTAGCGGATTGTCTTTCCTGAACGATGTTGGATGTTATAGTTTTGTGCGGCTAGAGCGATGCTCCGCTTCTGTAGCATAGCAGCAGTGGAAATCGCGATGGATTTGTTGGGGTTAAACAAGAACTGTAGCGCTTGGTGATCAGTGATGATGGTAAACCGCAATCCGAGAAGGTACTTGTACAATCGTCGAACAGCCCAAAATACAGCCAATGCTTCTTTTTCAGTCTACGAGTATCCCTTTTCAGCTGCATTGAGTAGACGTGAAATGCAGATCACTGGGCATCCTTCTTGTTCTAATACAGCACCGATTCCGACGTTGGACGCATCGGTGATGAGTGTAGTCGGTTTTGAAGGTGAAAACGGGGCCAGAACAGGACGATCAGTAACGCAGCAAAATAAACCACGTAAGATGTTCTCAAACTCCACCGACCACTCCCAAGCGTCGGAACACTGAGCACGGAAAAGAGGCTACGCCCTTGTAGCAAAGTTCGGGATAAATCGGGAATAGTACTGTAGGCATCCCATCACGGATCTCAAATGCGTTTGATCCTTTGGAGGTTCCATGTTAGTCAATGGTTTGAAACGTGTCGAATTGGGACGGTATCCACGGGAATCAATTGTGAATCCTAGAAACTCCAACTCACTCACACCAAGCACACTTTCTTGGCGACGAATCATTCCAATAGCTGTTTCAAACGGGCGTCGTGTTCTTTCTTATTAAGGCCGAAAATGAGGACGTCATCTTAATATGCAAGCACACTATCAAGTCCTTTTATTACACTGTCTACTGCCGATTGAAAGGAGCCAGATGATAGATGCAATCCGAACGGGAGAAAATTATACTGGTACATTCCCCATGGCGTGTTGATTGTTTTCAGGTAGCGAGATTCGACAGATCGAGTGGAATCTGTAGGTATGCGTCCGCCAAATAGATCTTGGAAAAATACTGGCACCCATGCAATGACTTCATGAAATCCTTTGGTTCCATGGTGGTCGCTGCACATCTCCGCAATCCGGGATTCAAAGTCAGTCGATAGCCTCCACAGATCCGCGGTGTCCTACCATCACTTTTCATCGCCACGACGATCGGGGTAGCACAGGCACTGGATTCAACTTTGCTGATCACACCATCCTGCCCCATGTTCTGTAATGCTTTTAGGACACCAGTTGACCGTATGGGAGGACGCGTCGTTTTAGGAAAATAGGTTCACCGTCCACTTCCAACTTCACCGACGGTACTTTCATGCCACCAACGGTACCGGAACACTGTACAATCAAATGTTGAATATGTGAGGTGATTGGCATATCGTTGTTGGTGTGTAGTGTGATGGATCCTTGTAGTAGCCGCATTGCTTGCAAGTCCAGAATAGACGGCCTGTGGGCTGATACCAAGAATCGGATTGGGATTGACAGACAGGACCCAGATTGAACGCACAACACCGTTTCCCCAAGCAATTGCAATTGATGGCAGGAAACCCCATGAATGCGCACAGAAGTCGGGGCTGGAACAGCATTGGGACAAATGGTAGTGAATGCTGATTTCGGTATGATTGATTCGCTGCTTTCTGTGCCTATGATGAATCGATGCTCCACACCAGACTCGAACCTCAGTGGGGCGAACACGAACTGACCGTTGGGTTCAGTGGTGTGCAGCGTGCAGATTGGGCTTGAGTTCTCATCTGCCGTTGGGACATGGTAGTCGATGAGGTTGCACTTGGGCATTCGGCTTACTTTGCGGATATGGCCCATCTTACCGCATGCATGACAAGTGGCATTACGGAATCGACAAGTCGAAA